AGACCAGTGTTTAACAACACCATATCCACATATAGCTTTATTAATTATCCTATCTGACCCTTTACTTGATCCATCCGAATCACTGTTTAACATACCATATCCACATATAGCTTTATTAATTATCCTAAAGTTAAACAGTGATTCGGATGGATCAAGTAAAGGGTCAGTTGGTTCTTCATCCACTAATATAGTTCATATAATACACAGATTGGTTCTTCATCCACTAATATAGTTCATATAATATACAGATTGGTACTTCATACACTAATATAGTTATGTAATACACAGATTGGTTCTTCATCCCCTTCTATAATTTGTGTAGTACACATATTGGTTCTTCATACACTAATATAGTTCATGGAGCACATAGATTGGTTCTTAATTCACTAATGTAGTTCATGGAGCACGCATATTGGTTCTTCATCTCCTTCTATAATTCATGTAGCACACAGATTGGTTCTTAATTCACTAATGTAGTTCATGAAGCACATAGATTGGTTTTGTACTATTTATGCACTGGTGTATTTCACAAAGTACTTCGATCTCATTGCAGAATCATTACAAGTAGATATTTAAAGAAAAGAAGATTATACTAAAATGTCGACCAAAACATAAGATTCTTCGGGCATAGTTTAAGTCTTGTCTCTCTTCATTGTTGTATGTAGTGGAAATTTCTATTTATAATGTAAAAATATCTTTGATATTACAACATATGGTATTGTAGTACATCATTCCTAAACACTTAAAATCAATTGTACACCTAGGTTAGTTCAGTTGCATAAAGATAATACAACTCTCAGAAACAACTTGTTTTCGTGTGTATTTCAGACAACAATAACTCAAGAAGGAAACAAACTCATCCAAAAGCAGCTAGGTGACAAAGAAGTGACAATCACTAGAGAAATCAATGATGATGAGCTTAAAGTTGTAAGTAATGTTTTTCACTAATGTTTTAGGTGTTGAAATGTAAAGCCTCAGTTAAGATAGTTAATACAGCTATATGTGGCTATGGTATATAGTTCATATAATACACAGCTTGGTTCTTCATTCACTAATATGGTTCATATAATACACAGATTGGTTCTTCATCCACTAATATAGTTCATGTAATACACAGCTTGGTTCTTCATCCACTAATATGGTTCATATAACACACACATTGGTTCTTCATACACTAATATAGTTCATGTGATACACAGATTGGTTCTCCATCCACTAATATAGTTCATATAATACACAGCATTAGTGGATGAAGAACCAATAGCGTGTATTATATGAACTATATTAGTAGATGAAGAACCAATCTGTGTATTATATGAACCATATTAGTGGATGAAGAACCAATACGTGTATTATATGAACTATATTAGTGGATGAAGAACCAAGCTGTGTATTATATGAACCATATTAGTGGATGAAGAACCAATACGTGTATTATATGAACTATATTAGT